AGAAATGTCCTGACCGTGCTCGTCGCTGACAGCCCCTAAATTGTCAGGAAAAAAATCCAGGTGCGAGTCTAAAAAATGGATCTTAAGTGACATGTTGCAACCCAATGCTTGATATGACAATAATAGCTCGCTAACCAACTCTCTGTAGCTGCCACTTTTGTGGTTACCCAAAAAATTTGAAACAACATTTTTAAAAGCCTTCCATGCAGAGGTTTCTAAATCGCTTAATTTTTCTTCAAATCTTGAATCTTTTATAAACTACCTAATTTGAGGGCCAACAAAAATACCCTCTTTTAGCTTTGCATCACTTATTTTAGGGAATTTTTCTTTTAGATACAAAAATCCACTCCCATTGCGATCCATTGCCTTCACAAAATTTTTTATTAATCCTAATTTGATATGCAATGGTGGTAGAAGCACATTATTTGGCTGTACAAGGGGTAAATACTTTACGTTTTTTTGTCCAGGAACTAACGATGCACGCGTAGGCCATGTTTTTTTTATATATTGATTAGTTCTGTCTCGGCTATCCCATTCACATAAAAAGCAGCAAAACTTTGTATAACCCAGCTGAAGTCCAAGTAATACTGCAACAACTTTAAGATCACCGCAGATTTTGAAGGAATATGAACTGTAATTTATTTTTTCAAGTAAAAGTTTCATATTTTCATAGGTTTCTTTCATATTTGCAGCATGGGCCAGAGGTACAGACGGAAGCTTATTTCCATTATGCAATAACACTGCTTTTAGACTTGCTTTCGAAGAATCAATTAATAAACGCCACGGAGAAAGATCAAAATCTATGTCCAACATTTTCATAATCTCATTTATGTTATTGCAAAACACCAAATCTCCATCCTGAGAAAAATACGTTCTGAAGTGTTAATCACGGTTTCGAAAATAGCTAACTTTTGTATTATGATGTAGCAAATTCAATTCTTTTAGACGTGATCCTAATAGTTCTGACTGCTTTTTTGACAAATTTAAATCCCGAACCAAATCATTTAGGTCTCCTTGAGTTATCAAATGTAGCTCGTTAACAATTCCTTTTAACTCAAAGTCATCGTCCTCGTCAACACATTCACCTGAAGTGGACGGTTGTGAATTGTTCTCAACAGACGTAGTTGCAGTTGGTATTAGTTCTGGCAATTTTATACAATGAGAGACTGGTCTTATAGCCGAAGATAAGTTAGGGTAAATAACTGTGGTTTTTTTCTTGTAATTTATACCTTTTATGTCTGTGAGACAAAAATAGCAATCTGAAACGTGATCTCGCTGTTCAGTCCATATCATGGGTACAGCAAACGGCATAGGTCGTGCACCTTTCTTCAGTCAGTTAAATTTTTCACACACGTTATGCAACAGACATGAGGGGCCCTGGATTTGTCTTGATGGGCGACAGAAAAACCAAAACATTGGTGATAACACTCCAACACAAGATTCGTAAAATTTCGTCGTTGTTTTTTGAATGTTAGTTCTCCGCAGACATAACAAAGAGTTAGGATCATTATTACACTTCCTCGACATATTCACAGGGTTAATAAATCACAAAAAAGTGTTCAAATTCAACAACAAATATTTTTATAAGGATTTACTTGTAAGCGTTTCTGTTAATTTACTGCCGTAGTACTAGTTATGAGTATTACCGTATCACAACAAATATGAGGCTAATAGACATATGACAGCTGTCATGTAATAATGAGGGTAGACTGATAAAACAAAATTAGCTGTCAAAGTTCGTGTGGCAAAACCAGTGTTGACCAGTGTTAATTTTTGTGGGGAACCGTAAAATATAAATGGTATGCGGATGCCCCAGCGACGATTGAGCACTTGAAGATCAACATTCACGCAGCCATTGCTGAGATAATGTCGCAGACTGTGGAAAATGTACTGAAAAACTGGGTCGACAGAATCGACTACGTCAAGCTAAGCCGTGGCGCGCGTATGAATGAGATTGTGTTTCATCATTAACCAGAAGGATAGTGTTCTCAAATAAAAAAAAAACAGTCTGGAAAAAGAACTCTGCGCTTTCATTTCAACCATCGATTTAAAAATTAACCGCCAGATGGATCACCCTTCAGTTATCTATGAAAAAGCGTTTTTCAATATCATACCGGGCGGCCTGATAATTTTTGGCATGGTAATGTGTTATCTATTATTATACTAAGTGACATATAAATCCGAACACCCAGTTTAAATGGTTTTATTTTAATAAAATTTTGTATAAGTACTTAATGAAGCATAATAAGTAAATGATAAAAATTTCAAAATGATTGCACTGCTTTAAAGCCCTTTGACCTTTAATAATGTGTGGATGCACCCTGATGTGCTACGCATTCTCCAACGCGCCTAGGCATGCTTCTGATCAGGTGGTCAATGTCCTCCTGTGGTATCTCATTCCAGGCAACCACCAACTCCTCTCGAAGTGCTTCTAGAGTCTGAGGAGGACGTTGCAAATTGAGCAATCTCCTACCCATCATATCCCACACGTGCTCAATTGGGGATAAGTCGGGAGATCTTGGTGGCCATGGTAACAATGTGACATCATTATGTTGAAAGAAGTCTATTGTGACTCTTGCAACATGTGGTCTGGCACTATCTTGTTGGAAAGTTGGATCTGCCAGGGTGTCAAGATAGGGTAAAAGATGGGGTTCTAGAACTTCGTGGATATAACGCTACGCGTTCATGTTACCTCTCGTGAAGATTAAAGGTGACCTGGAACCATAAGCTATAGCACCCCAAACCATAACTCCAACAGTGTGATGAACATGTCTTTCAACAAAAAACTGTGGATTCCTCCTTTCACCACGGCGCCTTCTAACTCTGGCACGACCATCGTGCATGCCTAAACAAAATCGAGACTCGTCACTAAAGACAATACTGTTCCATTCCTGATCCCAGAGTGACCGTTGTCTGCACCACTCAAGGCGATTACGTCGGTGTTCTTGAGTTAAAGGGAGGACCCAGTGTGGCCGGTATGAAAACAAGCCAAAACTTCTCATTCGTCGGTAAACACTTCGCATGCCAATAGGTCTTCCGGGTTCTGCAAACCATTCATTTGCAATGGACCTGGTAGTGAAGAAACGGTCCCTTAAGGCCAATAATCTTAGGCGGCGATCCTCACGGTCTGTTGTTCTACGGCGGCGTCCAGTGCCCCTTGCTCTTTGCGTACGGCCTTCTCGAAGCCATGCCTGACAACACCTAACCACAGTGTCTACACTTCTTTGCACTCTAACTGCAATTGCCCGAAAAGAAAGTCCAGCTTCCCGAAGTCCCACTATACGGCCCCTATCAAACTCAAGTTGAAAAAATCGTACAGGTCTCCGTACTCTAGGCATCGTAACCGATCGTAAAGGATGTCAAGAACCAACATCCGCCAAAAGCAGTATAAAAACCGGAATGTCCAACTGATAAGGCTGAAAATTTTTTCACTTCTTATTTACAGTAAGATAAATACATTCACCAACTTTTATTAAAATAAAACCATTTAAACTGGGTGTTCGGATTTATATGTCACTTAGTATATAAACAAGTTAACTGCTTTACAAATATATCAACTACAAATTTAATGATCTCGCAGCTGTATGCATATAAGACTAGCTTTTAGGAAGCCTTTTCAACAAATGTCAGAAAATGTTGCAATGTAAGTTATGTCTTCTAAGAATACCAAATTATTGCTTTGCAATTAATCTGCTGTGATGTTTGAGAGGTAAGACATTCCAAACACTTGATTAAATTACACTTCGAATCCTGTCAGCAGTGCGCCGACTTTTTTGTCCTATTTTAAAAAACCCCCTGAAGTACGCCACTGGAAGTCGTTTTCTCTTAAGTAACCTTTGAATAAAACAGTAAAATAACGCTCTATGAATCAGCTCATTTACTTCGCTACTGCCCTAATGCAACATTCCTTTATCAGAAAAAAACACCCCTGTTCAATAGTGCTCGATTCAACACTGCAATCTCCAAAAAGTTGGACAAAACCTCAAAACTTGATAAAGCGTTCGAACAAATTATTCTGAGGGTTTTTCGGGTCGAATGAATGAATGAATGAATTATGGTAATAATGCATACCGGCCACCGCGAGGAACCGGCGCATAGACCACTTCTAGCAAAGTTAAGTATGGCCTTGAGTCCCAACTCCTTAACGTTCTGGGGGTCCAAAGTAATGAACACCAGTATAGTCTGCCTATAGTAGCTTAGAGCCTCACAGCGACACATAACATGCGCCGAGGTCTCTTACTTTACCCCGCAGCGCTCACACAAAGGATTCTCAACCACCCCCATCACGTGCAAGTGGTGCCTCAACGTGTTATGTCCAAACAACAGTCCCACCAGCAACCTTAGGTTGGCTCTACCCAAGGATAAGCAAAAGCGATGAGATGTCTGGACAAGCTTCTCCATTTCTGAGAGTGTTGTCTTGCAATCCACTGCTCCATTTTGCTCCTAACACTTTGCGCGGGTACCCCTCTGCGCCTGTAATACTGATACAAGCCAAACGCTGAATTTTACTGAGTTCGGCCTTAGTTGTTTCGGTTCCAATGCAAGGCCACAAAACTAGAGAGCCGTACAAGAGAGATGGACGCACTATCGTCGTATAGAGCGAGTGTAAGTAAAAAACACCAATACTTTTTTCAGGTACAACACCAGGATTTGCAAAAATATTTTAAACATAATTGTTACGGCTAAATGAGTTAAACGTTTTCCATCGACACCAACATGTGCGGCCTAAACTAGTTATCATTATGTCAAGCTATATTTGGACTATAGTTGCTCAAAAGTTATTTAAGAGAGACCTATTTCCAGTGATATTTCGAAAATCGTCAGAGGAGAAATATTTCAAAGAATTAGTCCTTAAGTTTTCCCTCTTCTTAAAATTTTGCACCATCTTTCGTAAAGTCCCTGTATAAAATATATTGCCCTACGTTTGTATTCCTCAGAAGACAGATTCACACAGTATAATAATTTATCAGAGAAGCAAAATATCAGATCATTACGCTTACCTCTGGATCATCGTCAGTAAGTAATTCCTCTTCAACAACTTCAGCCTTGTATTCTAACAGCAGGTCTATCACCGGTTTCGCGTCCAGACTGCCGCTGATAAAAAGATGCCTCAAAAGATCCTCACACGACGGCCTTTTTTGTGGATCCTGGAGCACAAAAATACTAGATTAATAATAAAGGATTAACAATGTCGCCATTCAACAACACTACCTCCAGTACAACGACAGTTTCATGCGGTTGCCCACAAGGTTCTGTGCTGAGTATACTTTCATTCTTAATATACATGAATGACTTTCCTAATTGTAATACAAACAAAAACCCTATACTGTTAACCGATTACCCAACAATGCTCTGTAATATCAAATCGATGGATCTACTTTCTCTGCGAATATTGAATACATTGACAAAATACCTTTTCAAAAAGTAGTTTGATGAATGCTTCGTACCTGAAGTTTGAAAATGGTTAAAATATCATAATTTTCCTCAAAAAGCGTTGTTGCTTCTTGATAACGCTCCCGGTCATCCGTCTGAAGAAGAACTAACAACTGAGGATAAATGCATCACAGCGATGTTTCTGCCGCCAAATTGCACTGCACTGATTCAACCAATGGACCAGAATACCATTCAGTTTGTCAGGCAAGACTATAAGAAAATCCTACTTCTGAGAGCCGTATCAAAAGATAAACCAATAGAAAAAACTTTAAAAGAATTTAATATGAAAGACTTGGTTTTTGCTCTTTGTCAGTCGTGGAATGCGTTACCGTCATCAACTATTAAATCGTCTTGGAAAAAGTTATGGCCAGATATAGTCACCACTCCTAGCAACGTTCCACAAATCAGTGTAACTTCGGAAGTTATAGAACAAGTCGCTACTGAAACACAGATAAGTCCGGAAAATTTGGAAATCTAGTGCCGTGGAATGGATAAAGAGGAAAATATTTTTCATGAAATGTCTAACGAAGACATTATAAAAGAGGTTTCTAATTATAATAATAATAATATTTATTTACTCAATGTACAAAGATAACAAACAATATGAGTAAATAAATATAAAATCAAAACAGGCCCAATAGAAGGCATCGCCTGTACATGGACCAATAATTTAAGTTGAAACTGTAGAATGCAAATGACAAAAAAGGACAAAAATTAGCTACAGTAGTAGATTATGTATTTAGTTGATGTTCGTATTTATGAGTTTATGAAATTCAGTCCTAGATATAGAATGTAGCCACTTTTTTAAATTTCTTTTGTAACAATTTCCGAAACGTAAATCTTTTAAGTCTTTAGGTATAATTTCATAAAATTTAGGCGCTAAGTAGAGATATGATCGCTGCATTATAGATTTATGCGGCCGAGGAACTACTGTACCACGAATTTTGTACCTTGTATAATGATTATGTTTAATTTTTTGGTCGGTGTTTACAAATTTATGGTAGTGAGTGATACTGTGTAAGAAATAAAGCTGTCTTATATCATACACTCGAACATCTGCGTATAATTTGTCAGTGGGATAAAGTTTCGGTTTATTAAATATCATTTTTAGAATACTTTTTTGAAAAACATCTAAATTATAGATATGTGAGGAACATGCAGCTCCCCATGCTAATATACCATATGTGAGATGAGGCTCAATCAGTGCATGGTAAAATGTTCGAAGATATTTTTCTGTCAATATATTCCCAAGGTATTTAATTTTGTAGGATACAAATCTAACTTTCCTCAAAATATAATTGACATGGATGTCCCATCGTAAGTGAGGATCCAAGACCACTCCAAGGTATTTTATGTTGGGCACTCTATTAATTTGCATTTTTTATCATTAATGTTGAAGGAAAAATTTGTGTAATTTGACAGATGTCTAGCATAAGATCCAAATGGTAAAAAATGTGTTTTAGAATAGTTAATGCTTAATTTTCTACTGTTAAACCACCGAATAATTTTGATAAAATCATTTTCAATTACATTTTTCGGATCAGACCAGTCAGTGCCTTCATATAATATTGCAGTATCATCTGCAAAACTGGTTATTCTGCCAACACAATTAATTTGGAAAATATCATTTAAATATATATTGAATAACAGCGGACCAAAGACAGTTTCTTGTGGGACACCACACTTAATATACATTTCTTTACTAAACGATCCTGATATCTGCACAGATTGTGGACGATTTGACAAATAATTTTCGATCAGTGAGTACGCGTTTCCTCTGAAACCAATTCTCTCCAATGCTTCTAATAATAATTTGTGATTAACTGTGTCGAAAGCTTTCTTTAAATCAACAAAAATGCCTTCCCTTCTGTAAATCCATATTGATTTTCACTTAAAATTTTGCATTTTGTGAGGTATCGAATCATTCTAGTAGATAAAACTTTTGCAAAAACCTTTGCTACACTATTGGTCTATAGTTGTTAACATCTATTTTTGTTCCTGATTTATGTATCGGTATTATATTACCTTTTTTTAAAAATTGAGGGATATATGCCAGATTCAAAGCATTTGTTGATTAGGTAAGTGAGTGGTTCTGTTATGTCTTCGGCTATAGTTTTCAAATGCTCGCTTTTAATACCATCGAATCCAGGACTTTTTCGATTTTTTAAGGACATAACAGTGGTGTATACTTCACATTGCTCGACTTTATCCAAAATAAATGAGTTCAAAGATCTTTTTGGAGGCCGAGTATTGGGTACATCTGCTTGTATATTACTTGCATCACATATTTGTTGAGTATTTTTTAATACTGTTCCCGATGTTATATTTAACTCAGTGACACACTCAATGCTCTGTAGTATCAAATCGATTGATCTACTTTCTCTGCGAATATTGAATACATAATAAATTTAGAGAATTAATTTTTAGCAAATACACTGGCACTTAATGCTTCAAAGATGCTGTCCATGGTGATAAGCTTGTGTCATCATAACGTCAATATCATAAAAATGTAAACGGTATTCTCAGGAAACTATCAAAGACCATTCATTTAAGAATGTCATATCTTCACTCTTGAACTGAGGTCACTATGTGCATATGCCTAAAGTATTTGCACTACAAAGGCGCTGCATTAGAGTAATCGCAGGTCTGAGTTATATGCAGCCATGTAGGGAACCTTACTCTTCCATTTATATATACAGGGTGTAAACGTTATGATAGTCATTATTTACATGGGCAAAAAGTTTCATATAACATGGGGGTCAAAGTGGCTTTTTTTAGAGAAAAGCGACTTTAAAGTGTAAATCAAGATGGAGTTTGTTATTTTTGGCTCTTAGGTATTATTCCATTATTTGATAATGTACTCGTAAAATTCAAACAATTAAAAAAAACGGAATTACCACTAGCTGTCTCAGCGCTTCACCTGGTGTGTGAAAGTTTATTGAACGTATTAAAAAAATCCACTTATAAATAGGGAACACAATTTTGATACATACGTTGTTTTTCTTTTTAAAACCCACACTGCACTTTTTTTGTATTTAAAGAAGGTGTTAAAAATGTCGTTCTCCACTTTCCACGCAAGCTTCATTTCGACAAACCCAGTTTCTTCTTACTCTAGGTCCTCGAAGTTGTAACCATTTATTATTTCAGCCGCATTAATTTTTTTTTGTTATTGGACCATCCATCGGATTGAGGTCAGGAGATCTTGCTGGCCATTTTCGACGATCAGGAGTATTTAGACCGATCCAGCAATTTGGATAATGTTCATTCAAATACTGAATGACTCCTCTAAAAATGTGCGGTGGTGCCCCGTCATGAAGAAACCACAAATTCTGTCTCCGTTGTAATGGCATGTTGTCTAAGGTCTGTTCCAAAAGGTCTGGTAGGTTATTGGCTAGAAAGCTAAGGTATTCCTTTTCCTGACAACTTTGGGGGTAACTCGAAAGGGCCAATTACACTGGACAACAAATTTTAGTTTTTTAATTGTATCTTGTGGGAAAAGTGCACTTCTTTGTTAATTTTGGGGCGCTGAATCCAAAACTGAGAATGAAATAAAAAAATTAGTTGCGGTTTAGAAAAAAAACTTTCTATTTTTAAGGATATATTAAAAAAAGTAACAAGATTCATATACTTATAAGAATCACTATAGGCGCTGTCTTTTTGCTGTTATTTTATGGATCGTTTCTGGAGCATCTCTACCAAGAGTCCAACAGTAGTCTGCAAGCATGGAAGGATTCCACTTTCCCTGGTACCTTTTTTCCATTGTTGAAATATCCTGATGAAAACGTTCGCCGTGCTCATCACTTACGGCTCCGCAATTGTCAGGAAAAAAGTCCAGGTGTGAGTGAAGGAAATGTATCTTAAGAGACATATTACAGCCCATCTTTTGATACGATGACAGCATATTTTTGACAAGGGATTTATAGTTGTCAGCTTTTCTATTTCCCAAGAAATTAGTGACCACCAGACGGAAATCATTCCAAGCAGTTTTTTCAATACCTGTTAAAGTGTTTTCAAACTGTGTATCTTTCAAAATATTTCGAATCTGTGGCCCAACAAAAATACCTTCTTTAACCTTTGCCTCACTTAGACTTGGAAATTTCTGACGCAGGTATTGAAAAGCTGACCCATCTCTATCTAATGCCTTGACAAAGATTTTCATTAGGCCCAACTTGATATGCAGTGGTGCTAATAAATTTTTTTTCGAATCTACTAATGGCATATGCTGTACATTTTTTTGACCTGGCTCTAAGAATTGACGAACAGGCCAGTTTTGTCTGGTGTAATGAAGTGCCTTTGCCCGACTGTCCCATTCACACAAAAAAACAGCAAAACTTTGTGTAGCCTAGCTGCAGCCCAAGTAAAAGTTCAACAACTTTCAAATCGCCACAAATATGCCATTGGTGCTCATCGTATTTTATGCATGTCAATAGGTACTTCATATTGTCATATGATTCTTTCATGTGAACTGCATACCCTACAGGAAGAGATGGTAAAATATTTCCAATATGCAATAACACTGCCTTTAAACTCAATGTTGAACTGTCTATAAACAATCTCCATTCGTCTGGGTTATAGTTTATATTTAAAGCCGCCAGTAAGCCGTTAATGTTACTGCAGAAAACCAAGTTATTCTCCATATTGAAAAAGGGTTCTAAGTCTTTGTGGCGTTTACGAAAAACACATACCGAAACATCGTCTTCTAACAAGTTCCACT